GCAGAAACACAGAAAAACAAGGTGTGCACATCTCTACCTTTACTAATGATGGAATATATCTACCCACTCATACTAAATAACATTGCTTTTACCCAGACTTTCATCATGCCTAATAATACATGTATCATACAGTTTGCAGTCCGGTTTGGATGTGCACTTTGTAGAATCTGGTAGTCATCAAATTACAAATTGAACAAAGTGGAAGAGAAAATTCTTTGTTTGATTCATTTCAGCAATGATTGCCATCTCTACATTTGAACCATTGAATGGAGCTGCTCCTATCCGGGATGATTCTTCAGTCAATGATGTCAATATGCGATGTCATGTCAATCTTGCTGAGACTGACCTACGGTCAGTTGATATCATCTTCCCAGATAATTCACAGAATGCAATGACAAAGGTGCAAGAAGGTGTATGGGAATACACCTTACAAGATGTTCATCCTATCAACTCAGGTGTCTACACCTGCCGTGCTACAGCTAATCCAATACCCAGTGGTAGAGTGTTGGACATCAGAAGGACCTTCGACTTAACTGTGACTGGTGAGTATCTATCAATGTCATAACCATAGAGCTTTATGTTAAAAATAGAGGGCTGACTCATGCACAAAGTGATGCCTGCCGGGTGCATCCATGCCTGTGCCCAAACCTATGGAAAACTCAAAATTTTGTACGGCTTTTGTTCGGCTATTTCCAAAGCTGGGTCTGTATTATAAAATAATACGTCGACAAACAGAATCGTAACCGTACAATCAGTAAATGAGCATTTCATGTTGCTTTCCGCAAATAACGCAAACGTGAGTGTGTATCCACTGCGGATAGATTTTGCTGTGACCATTCTTTTTTTTATCGGTACCCGTTGCGCGTTGCATTTACATAATCCGATACTCATTCTATCTGATTGCTCTTCAAACACGCACATGGATTCAAAATGTCTGCACCCAGGACGGTGCTAAATTGTCTCCACACTCAGAGAATAGTGAGAACTTGGTGCTCTAGTTATTTAATAAAGCTCTATGGTAATAACCTGTCGCACTGTTCCACTTTAAAAGATGTTTGTGCTGAAGAAAACAACCCCATTTATTGTGAAGGATATGTCTCAGCATATGGAGTAATAGTTTCTGTTTTCAAATAAATATATGTACTTTAATTCATCCTCAAGCATTCGTAAGCTATTTTTTTGGCAATTTCTCTACCTTTGTACACAAACTAGCAACAGAACAATACCTGAAACAAATATTGTTGTAACATGTCACTGAGGGAAAGAAGTCAGCTTTAAGTTGAAAGGAGAAATTCCAAATATACCACTCGGAATAAGTCTACTTTAACAAGCATGGATAGTGATGAAATTTGATTTAAATTTCATTCCAAAGCATTAGAAAGCAACTTCAGCCGAGGCTGAGTATGAAAAACTGTTTGAAAGTAATGTGCGTTGTAAATAAAGGCTAATGACTCCTTGTTTTGCAGATGTCAATGAATGTGACGAGAACTTGGATAATTGTCATGAATATGCTACCTGTGCAAATGACGTCGGTAAATTCAACTGTACGTGTTTTCATGGTTTCACCGGTAATGGTGTTCAATGCACAGGTAAAACTAAATGAATTTACAATAATGGAAAACCTGGTTTTGCAAAAAATTTATTATATTGAGAAAAGTGTTTTCAAAAACAATTGTACCTCAATTTGCTGAGAATTAAACATCCACCAATGAAGACAAGCAGATTCATTTAATTTTGGATTTTTGCCCTGTCCGACATCTTAACCACTTGACCTGTCTTAACCCACTGCTATATCTGACTCAAACCAGCCAGTCGCCACCGGCAAGCTTTGTGGTCGAGTGGGTAAAACGTCTGCACTAGTAAGCAGGGAGTCGTGGGTTCGAGTCCCACCCGAGTACATTTGTATTTTTTTCCACAAGCCTGCGGGGCAAACACTGAGTAGTGTTATAACACACGTCGGGAAGGGCAAAAATCGAAAATTTATTGACATCTCCCCGGTGCAAATCCATCCTTGGGAAAAGCAGGTTCCTGCATTTTTCCCATCAGTCATCAGACAGTTAAGTGCTTTATTTTCCAGATAGAGTTGTT